CGTACTTGTTTAATTTTGTGGTTTTTTTTTATTTCATTAAAATATATTCTTAAACGAAATATCATTTTTTAAAATGATGAAAATAAAACTTTTATTTCGTTCAAGGAAACCATGTCATTTGATGAAACAACACTATTGTTTTAAATAATATTTTCTAAAAGTTTCTCTCAAAATTTAGTAATTTGATTTGTTTAATTTGGATTTTCTTGGATTTTTTAATTTTTTTTGTTGGATTAATCATTTTGTTAAAAATGTAAAAGTAATTATGGTTACTGGTTCACTACATTACATCAATATTCATCGCATATCGAATGTTGCATTGTTTCAATATCTATCAACAAATTATCCAAGTTACATTATATACATAATTACATTATATAAGTATGAATTGTAAGAACATCGTTGGAGTCATCAGAGTCACTGCGTGCGCGCTCGATCGTCAGGTTAAGCAACAGTGTTTAATGCGGTCAGGATATGCATGGGTGACCAGCAGCGGTATACCGCTTGGGATCGAAATTATCGCAGGAGGATCCATGAAAGTTTGGAATGTGTTGACAACCTTCGATATCTAGTAGTTTATGAGACATGAGAAAATTAGGAATATAAGTATATTTTTGTAAACATTATGATTTTCTCATTTTTCACCTTTGCATAATAATTCTCAGTATTTGATTACTACCAATATTTAACAGTGATTTTATTATCAGTATTCACCAGAAATTAAGTACTGGCCAAGAAATTACTGAATTACTGGTAATATTTAATCACTAATAATTTTTAGTATTGTTTAGTATGATATTTCTATAAGGATTGTATATATATATGTTCATATGTGTAATCTATAATTATTTACACACTTATATTTACACACTTATATCTATAATTATTTACACACTTATATTTTTATATAAAAAAATATTTATATTTCTATAGATTGTGTATATATATGGGGCAAAATTTGTGAACACGGCCACCAGCCTCTCCATAATTCGTGCATCAAAAAAGTTGTGCTTGGGCTTAAAATTTAGCTTAAAAAGTCTACTTTCGAATACTGTGTGCCATATTTGAAATTTCGAAATGGCGAACTCAGTTACGGCGTCAAGAATATAAAAAGTTCCCGAAAAAAATATGTATCATGTAAAGAAACGTATAATATCACAAAGGAAAAAAAATTTGTTTTCCGTAAATTGTGCACATATTGGTGTACTTTACATCAGGTATGTTGAATGTCTAAAAATTTAAAATGGTGGATCCAATATGGCGGCTGAAAAACCGAAACTCAAAATTTGACTTTGAAAAAAATATGGTCATATTTTACGTCAGAATTTAAATACAAATGCCCTCTAGCGATTTTTTGAAACAACTCATTCTTTTTGAAATAAAAATTCAGTGGTGTTAAAATTATTGTAATTGAGTCAGAAAAAGTTGAATATTAAACGTTGGATTGAAAAGATTAGAACTCAAGACGTTGAAATTGGAGATGCGAGAAGAAAGTTTCGAAATTGCTGAATACAAATTGGGGGTCAGATTTTCCAAATTCAAAATGGCGGATACAATATAAAGGACCGAAATTTAAAAGTGGCGCGATTAGGTTGAAATGTGGTAATTGGGGGCTTTAATGACATACTGCGTATATAATTTGTTTATTCCAAATCATCTATATAAATATCTTAAGATAAATTAATGTATGCATTAAAGAAAGTTACAATATGCTTTAAAAAATAATTTTATCCAATTCGTTAAATTCAAAATGTATTAACTAGTTATGTAAATATGTTATATTTATTATTTATAACCAAAGCTTAAAACAATCGTTATTAACGAAATTTCATTGTTAATAAGATAATTAAATTTAAAAAAATGATAAAACAAGATATCAGTAAACAGAAAAGCCAAAGTAGAAGCCTATGTTATTTAACGATCGGAAGATGCCGTTGACTGGACCGAGCGCCTTATTAAACTATTAATATTTTCGCCGTTTTACAACCGATCGATCTGACATTTCCAGAAAACATCCTTAAATTCTGAGGAACAAATGTCTCACTGGAAACTTGCTCAACTCTGAAATTTCCTCTCCTTAATTTTTGTCCATGTATCGGAAAGAACGAGGTTATGAACTACTTTTATATAAAATTGAAAATTATTAAACTATAAACATTTTTTAACATTTTTCTCATTTTGTTAGCTTCGCCTGACATTAGAGAGTATGTGTAGTACATGTCAAACAATTCTATAAATAATTGACTAACTTGTGACAATTAATATTTTAAAATTTTATTACATTTGTTATTGACGGGTCTTCAGTTTTAATTTATTTTATGCAAACTAATGGTTAAAAGAAAACTGCAAGAAAAAAGTTTTGGCTCGTCATTCCCTGCATCCCTATATTTGTTTTACTTCAAATATCGACTTTTTAAATTTTCTTTCTCAAAACGGTCAGGGGACTTCTATTTTCCGCGGTTCGAGCGTAGGGCGCGTTCTACGATCCGAAGCCTGAATTGGCGTTTCCCGCAAGCAAAGTGCCATGCCAGAAATATAAATAGAGGAATCCTGGTCGTAATTTCATGTTTTCTTGTTTCGCCTAGAACGTTTCATATGAACTAGTTTGAAATATATTGCTTTTCTGTACTTTTGATATACATCGCTTATTCTTTTTCAATTTTGAAACGGTTTGCATTATACTTTGTTTGCATTATACTTTGTTATAGTTCAAAGAATTTAAACATATTTTCTTTCATGGTTTCTTTCTAAATTGGATGAAACATCTCGAAATGCCTTATAGATGTTGCAACCCCTACAGGGAAATAAGGGAAAAATCTCATATTGGTAAGGCTTTGCGACCAGTTTCGAATAAATTCCGAAAAAAATTTCCTCACCTTCCGGCGAACGCGAGGGTCTGTGCGACATGTAGACAAAAGCAAGAAAAGACTGATAATGATTCCTCCTTCGATACAATCTGTCAATCAGTACCTTTTGAAAATGAACAGTCATCACGATTACAAAAATTAGAACAGCTGTCATCTGCGTTAAAAGAGGCATATGCAAGTTTTCCGAGTAATGATCTTATGAGATTACGACTCCTTACTGTTGCTCCACCTTCATGGAGCATTCGTGAAGTTGCTGCAGAGTTTTGAGCATCGAGACATATTACTTATGGCCAAAAAAGCAAAAGAACTGAGAGAATTGAGAGGTGTTTTAGCTTTAACAACATTGAAGAGTGGAAAAAAGTTACCGCAAGAAACAACCTCATAAGTGATTGATTTCTTCAACAGTGATTTGTATGGAAGAATAATGCCAGGAAAGAAAGATGTAGCTTCAATAAAAATGGGGGATAAGAGAGAATTGGTGCAAAAACGATTATTATTATCCGGCCTAAGAGAGTTGCATGAAAAGTTTTTGGAGACATATCCTCAACATCCAATTAGTATTAGTGCTTTCACGAAGCTGCGCCTTAAGA